CCCGCAGCGTCCCGGGCTCTGCTCGTCCCCCGCCCCCCCAGCCCAGCCCTGTCTCCGCCGCCGCTCACCTCCGGAACCCTCGCTCCCCGCGGTCAGCAGCTCCCTGGACACCGTGACCTGCGAGCAGTCTTCAGAAGACGACGAAGCTGTGGGTCCGGACACGCGTTCGCCGTGGAGCTCCATGCTTGCAAGACAGCACGAGAGAAATGAACCCGGATGGACGAAGGCGCGGGGGCGGGGGGCGGGGCCAAGGCGGCAATTGGTGGAAACTCGGAGGTGGGCGGCGACAATGGGGGATGGAAGGGCGGAAGCTCGTGCAGGAGGCGGGGCTGGAGGCTCGGGCAGGCGGGGCCGGAGCCTCGGGCCGGGCAGGCGGGGCCGGAAGCGGGGGTGGGGGAGCACACAGCGTGGGCGGAGCGCTGCGGAAGCACGCGTGGGGGCCTGTTCCTTCCCCCGCCTGGGGAATCTCCCTTGTTGTTGTTATTGTTGGAAAAACGTCAGCAGGGCTTGGTTTGGTGAAACAAATTCAAGCCGATTAACGTAGTGTGAGGCCTTTGTTATTTTTGTTGTTGTTTGGGGAGATTTCTGTGGTCTTGAGTTGAGGCAATCCTGCTTTAGTCTCTCAAATGCCAGGATTACAGGTGGGAGCCACCATACCCAGCTGCTCTATCCTGTTCTTTTTTTTTTTGTTGTTGTTGTTTTGTTTTTTCGAGACAGGGTTTCTCTGTGTAGCTTTGTGCCTTTCCTGGAACTCACTTGGTAGCCCAGGCTGGCCTCGAACTCACAGAGATCCGCCTGGCTCTGCCTCCGAGTGCTGGGATTAAAGGCGTGCGCCACCACCACCCGGCTCTATCCTGTTCTTAAGAGAAAAAAAAAAAAAATTATTTTATCATACTGGCCCAGGTGGGCATCAAACTAACTATTTTCCTGCTTCAGTGTGTACTTAAATCTACCGGCACCCATCACCATGCTTGATTTAAATTATTTGTTAAATGAAGCCTTACCAAGTTACTCAGATTGGGCTGGTAATCAAGGTCGAACAGCCTCCTAAATAGTTTGCTTTACAGACCTGGACTACCAGACCCCGTTAAATTTACTGTTGAATTGTAAACACAAAATTCAGCATTATGAGTACTGTTTACATTGGAAGGCAACAAACATTTTTCATCTAAAATCCTAAAAGATTGTCCCAGGTGGTAGTTAAATGGTGAAGTGTGTAAGGGGGGCCTGAGTTTGGTCTCCAGCACCAAAACAAACAATTTTTTAAAAAGCTGAAACTAGACTCATTGAACAGCAAACCTGATCCCCCCCTTTTTTCCTGACCCTGGTACCCAGGTTCTGCCTTCTCTTTCCATATAAAAAAATCATAAACCACTTGTTTTTGTGACTTTTATTTCACTGCAAATAAAACCTTCAAGGTTTACTGGAAAGGATTCTTTCTATTTTGATGTTGAATAATATGTCATTGAATTATGTACCATATACTCTTTGTGGGGAAAGGGATTTGTTTGGGAGAACAGGATCTCACCATATATGTGTGTGTGTGTGTGTGTGTGTGTGTGTGTGTGTGTGTATGTATGTGTGTGTATATATATGTGTGTG